GAGAGGCTATGCTCTTCCCTACCCCCCCCCCAGCAACAGCTCACCAAAACTCCCCAAGTGACCCTCCAGCCCAAATAATTGCCCACCCCTGATCTATAGCTTGGTGGTAAACCATGGATCAAAATATGTCCCTAACTAATCTTAGGTAACAAATGTATAAAGGATGAAAGTGTAGCTGAACAAGTCGCAAACAGAAATATGAACAAAATTCAAAATAAACAAACATGCATACTTAGTGATATACATAAAATAGCATGATATTTTTGGTATTATTTGATCCAAAAACTGATGCTGAACTTTTGGATGGCAAATATAGCTAACAATGCACTTTTCATGGGTGTTTAGGTTAAAACCCCTAATTCTGAGGAATGAAATGGGACATAAGTGCCGAATAGACCTTTTGTTAACCATTTTCACAAAGGTGAATTTCACTGGGGAAACTATAACCAAGTATTTGGATAGAAAGATTTTCTGGTGTCTATCTGATGTTTGTTCAGTAGCTAGCACAATGAAATCCAGATTCTAATCAGTACTCTGGACACTACTACTTCTACTAAATACGGCCTTGTTTCTTCTTTTGCCCTTACCACCTTTTTCAACTGGCTTATGGACATGTCATCTTTTGAGAGTAGACCTCTTCTTCATGTCAGAGTCCATTAAGTCAATGGAAAGATGCTTTCTTTGGATCTGTCTTCATGATGGAAAATGTTAAGAGAGATTTCAGTTCTCTCTAGGGACAATTCTGTGGAACTGAACAAAAGTGAGGTTTCAAAAGATGAGGTCATATTGGAAATCAATAAACTAAACAGTAGTAAATTATCAGGACCTGATGGAATTCATCCTAGGGTCCTGAAGGAGCTCAGACTGGAAACAACCACACTTCTAACTGTAGTATGCAACCTATCAGTAAAAACAGCATTAGTGCAAGAGAACTGTAGGGTTGCCAATGTGACTGATATTTTAAAAGGGCTCTTGAGAGGATCTAGGGAACTACAGGCCAGTGAGTCTAATTTCTGTTCCTGGAAAGAAACAAGAAAAAAAGAATTGCTCATCAGAAGAAATGCTCATCACATGAAGGAACATGCCTTGCTGGAGAGGAGTCAGCATGTGTTTTATCAAAGGGAAATCACACTTCCAGAACTTATTAGAGTTTTTTGAGGGTTTCAATAAGCAAATGGATCAGTGTGCTCCAGTTGACATAGTATCTTTGAACTTCCAAAAAGCCTTTGACAAGGTTCCTCATCAAAAGCTTTTATTGAAGTTAAGTAGTCAAGGGATTACAGGGAAGTTTCACTCATGGATTAGAAATTAAGGACAAAAAAAACAAAGAATGAATATAAATGGCCAGTTTTCAGAAAGGAAAGAAGTAAACAGTAGGGCCCTCTAGGAATCTGTGTCAGGTCTGGTTCTGTTGAACCTACTCATAAATAATCTGGAAAAGCAGCTAAGTAGTGAGGTGGCCTAATTTGTAGATGACACAAAATTATTCAAAGTGGTAAAGACCAAGGCAAACTAAGGAACTGCAGAAGAATATTTCACTTAATGAATGGACAACAAATGCCATATGAAAATCAGTGGATAAGTGTGAAGTGATACACTTGGGCCTACACTTCTATAGGCTCTACATTAGCTGTTGCCACAAAGGAAAAAGAGATCTGGAAGTCATTGTGGATAGGTCACTAGAAACATCAACTCAGCACTCAGTCGCCATCAAAAAGGCAAACAAAATTTTAGGAATTAAGAAGGGAATTGGAAACAAAACAGAAAATATCATTATGCCCCTTTATAAACCCATGGTGCATCCATACCCTGAGTACTGTGCACAATTTTGGTCCCCACACCTCAGAAAGGATATAGAAGAACACAAGAAAGTCAGCAAGGGTAATTAGTGATATGGAGGAGCTTCCATATAAGGAGAGAATAAAGAGGCTAGGTCTATTCAGTTTAGAAAAGGGATGTTTGAGGAGGGACATAGTAAGAGTTTACAAAATACTAAATGGTGATGTGAAAATAAATGGGGATTTATTATTTACTCTCTCACACAGGGGCAGTACCAGTCTCTTCCCAGTGGGTGGGTGGGGCCAGGGCTGGGCTCGGGTGTGGCTTGGGGGGCTATAGCCCCTCCATAGCCACCCCTCCCAGTACCACCGCTGCCTGCCCATGCTGCACAACAGAGCCTGCCCCACTGCCACCTGCTCTGAGCCCAGTCCCAGTCTAGCCACCCCCACCAGGAAGAGGCTGGCACCACCGCTGCTGGAACCATTTGCAGGCTCATCTGCACAGGGCAAGTAGGTGGGGAAACCTGTGCTAGGTGGATGGGTGGCGGCAGCAGCAGTGCTGGGAGGGGTGGCTATGGGGGGAGCTAAGGCAAATTTTGGGATGGCTACAGCCTCCCCAATCCTCCCCCCCAAGCACCACCCCAGTTCTCTCTCCATCTAAAAACTAGGGGGTTATCAAATGAAACTAGTAGGCAGTAACCTTAAAATGAGCAAAAGAAAGTTCATGTTCACACAGCATGCAATTAAAGTGTGGAACGCATTGCCACAAGATGTTATGGAAGCTTACAGTTTAGCTAGATTCAAAAAGGGGACAAATTCTTGCAGGAAAGGGACATCAGTAGCTCTTAAATATGAGAGATAGGGATACAGCCTCTGAATTGGAACTTTCTGGACCTTAAATGCTGGGGGCTACAAGTAGAGAGAAAAAGGGGGAAATCCTTGGTTAACACCCTGTTCACCCTCCCTTTTAGCATACACTGTCTGCCACTGTGTGACACAGGATATTGTGCAAGATGGAACTAAACCCTGACCCAGCAAATGGCAGTTCTTATGTTATAACAATTCCTGTTTACATCTGCAAATTTATTTTTGCAAATTCCAGAATCTCTCTGTTCTATAAGAAAGACGCACTGCTTAGAAGTAAAAGAAGTTGAAACAGCACATGGCCAAAGAGTGCTACTACAAACACATCAACTGGTCTTAACACTGAATGATTCCTGAGATTCATCCACTACACCATGAGATTCACAACAAAGATAAAATATGAACAGAACACATAGTTGGCATGGCTCCATATCAACATCATATAATGTCATTTTTCCTGCTAGGTTGAAAGTGACAGTGTAAGTGTACAAGCATTCATTCTCCCCTGGGTTGAAGATGAGTTATTTTTCTCCAAGAACCAGCATTTTGCTCTTACAGAAAGTGAACATTTTGAATGCTCAAGATTTCTACTGGAAGAGAGTGATGATTCTCCCAGTAGAAGCATAATACCTGTACCTGGCGTTTTACATACAATTCTATAAACATGCAAAACTGATAAAATTACAATCTATTATTGTTTATTTCACAGAACAAAAATTGAATGCATGTATAACTTTTTTTTTCATTTTCCTTTTACACTTTCATATCTGGCTGAGAAAAATATTTTAATTCCCACATGATTTACATTTTACATGATTTACAAAAAATCAGATTATAAAAACTCACATGAGATGCTAAGATTTCCAAACTGTTCACTGTTTAAACATACAAAGATGGAAGCTAAATTATGTGAGTTAAAAGAATGTCCAGTGTATTAACAAAATTAAAGTATTCTTTCTTTTATGAGACTAAATTGTGTTAGAGAGAACAGACAGAGACAGAGACAGACACACACATACGCACACATAGAGAGAAATAGAGTTTACGAGAGAGACAGAGTATCTCTACATCACAGTATCTTGCAAGAAGCACGGTGAGATAACTGCACACCCCCATTACAGGCATACGATACATATGGCCACTGTTCTTTACCCAGTAACAGCTACTCTGGTACACAGGAACATGTTGCCATGGCTTCGCTATCACTTCCTCACCTACACAAACCCACTTAATGTTCATTAACAATGCTAATAGGGCATGCCATGCACACCCTTTCCACGCTCCGGTAAGCACATGCACTACAGCTGAGAACTCTGGAACCTATTATAAGAACTGAAACAGTATAGCACTGAGGGCCTTGTTACACCTTACACCATGAACTGCACAAATGTTGATTGTGCTAGTGCTAGCCTGAGTCACGCTTCAGGCCAGCAGGGCCCTGGGGGACTGAAAGGTATGGTAACCCCTTGGGGTTCCCCTGACCCCACCACCTGCTTACTTGTAGCTGCCCACACTCTCTGTCCCAGGGCAACAGGTTAACCTGCCTGCCTAGCTGGCTGCCACTGCTGCCATGCTGCTGCTCTTCTGGCCCAGAGAGCAGCCGCTGTGGCTGGGCAGGCAGATTAATCCTTCCCTGCCTGCTCCCCCAGGACAGACAGTGCAGACAACCACGGGTAAGCGAGGGCCGGTAGGGGGGTGGGGTAGGTGGTATGTCCACACTAAGAATGGCTACACCTTAATGTAACATGAGCTGGGTAATACAGATCAGAGATAATGTTGCCCTGGAGTGACATAACTTTGAGCTGCCTAGTGAATGCTTAAAACTAGTTTTAGGTGTTAATATGTGGACAATC